CCCCCCCCCCCCCCCCCCATAGCCGTCATTAAGCTTATTGGACGGGAGAGATGGGCGGATGATGCAGAGGTGCTGCAGCTGCATCAGGAAAAATAAAAAAAAAGAACACTCTGGAAGTCTTTGCCATCTGACGTTCCAAATACAGAGTCTCTACCTCTTTTTTTAAAACAAAACTCAAAACCCACCTGTTTAAAATGTCTTCCCCATCCCTAACTCTGACATTCCCCTCATTCTGCACAGTTTTATTCACTCCATTTTTATTCATTTATGATGTTTTTATGTATGACTTTGTATGTTTTACAATGTTTCGGTGTTGTTTTAATGACAATCGTCTTTGTAAAGTGTTCTAGAGTGGCATGAAAGGGGCTTTTAAAAATTTAAATGTATTAGAAGAAGATGCCCACATCAAAATGGAGGCCCACCACTACAGGTCAGCAGGTAGATTAGTTAGAATTGGGCTATAATTAGTGACTTCAGCACAGTATGTTATAACTTAATCCATGTAAATGACTGATTGTATTATTTCTTTTTAGATCTATATCATTCCCTTTAGAATTATACTTTTGGGTTAAACACTTTCTTATCATATTCCACCAAAACCTGCATGAATTAGGACCTGGCCTGTTCGTGTCAGAGCTAACTGGCCAATAACACTGTGCTGATTTACTTTGCTTGTGACCAATATATGTCATATTTGTACTCTTGATCGGCTCTGGTTTATTCTCAGGCTTCCAGCTAAAGAATTGAGCTAACAGACTCAGTAAAAACGGTCTGTTGAGCCCAAAACTAATCCAAAACTAATGCCACACAGGATATAAACTGGCATTTATTTCACCAACCAACAGCACGTTACCTCAATCTGACAGTAAGGAATAACTAACCCTAACCAAGCCTCAACCAACAATATTTGATTAATAATTATACTAATAAAAGAGTCCGGGAAACAAAACAAAGTCTCACCCATCTCTGTTTAAAATGCCCCGCCCTGCACCACGTGATCTTTTGCCCTATCCCGTTTCAGCTTGATCCTTATCTTCTGGAAAGCATTACCATGCGCTGTGACGGGTGCATTCAGGGTCTTAAGAGGATGTTTGGCTTTTATTGACACTCTGCTGACATCAGCGAAAAAGATCAAATGAAGTATTGTGGTTTGAAGACTCCTGCCCGTGATTGGAAGTGACATTACTTTGTATTTTCAGAGGATTCCCTTACAATATTTGATTACGACTACTAATAATAATACATTTTATTTTTAAAAAGCGCCTTTCATGCCACTCAAGGACACTTTACAAAGATGATCATCATTAAAACAACATTTAGACATTAGAAAACATACAGTCATAAATCCATCATAAATCAAAACATCATAAATTAATTAAATAAAAATGGAATGAATAAAACTGTGCAGAATATTAGGGGGAATATTAGAGTTAGGGATGGTGAGGTGGGTAAAAAATTTTAAACTGGTGGGTTTTGAGTTTTGTTTTCAAAATAAAAGAAGATTTAAACAAATTGGGAAACAGAAATGACGAAGCATAGGCACTCAATTCTTTTTTTTTTTCTTCCTTTTTTCCCTTTTTTTTCTTTTTTCTCCTTTTTTTCTTCTTCTTTTTCTTTTTTTTTCTTTTTTTCCTTTTTTTCTCCTTTTTTCCCCCTTTTTTCCCTTTTCCCTCTATTCTTAAAGTCGATACACTGACTTTGTCCGGTTATTTGCCCAAAAAGAGGGGCATGAGTCCTGATAAGAGGTACGTTTGTTTGAAAATCTAACTTCTCCGCCCCTTCTTCCCCCCCCCCGGACGCGGTCAGGTTCAAAGGGAGGACGGGGGGGGGGGGCGGGGCCCGGAAATAGGTGCCATATGGAGGGGGGAAAGTGGAGCAGCGTTTCCCTCCGGAGGAAAAAAAAACACACTAAGCGCATCTCTATTCACGCACACATGCACGCCAAAAAAACACAAACAAACCGATAAGCCTCCACCATGTCACACGTGTGTTCTTGTTTAACTCATTGGCTGCCAAAGACGTCTATAGACGTCAATTCAAATCCAACCGTTGACTGCCAAAGACGTCTATAGACGTCTTTGGCAG